AGCAGGAATCGACAGCAGATGTCTCTCAGTGAAGTAGACCATCTCAGCAGATGGGCAAATATGAAACGCAAAGGCTTTTCCTGATATCACTTGGTTTTAATGTGATAGAAATAAAATGCCTTGTCAGTAAAATATAACCAGACAGTTGCTTTGTAGTCATTTTGGGTACATGGTTGGTAATTCAAAGTCCTGCTGCCTTTGCAATATTAATTATTCTGTGCCTCATTACAGCAAGAGTACGTGTCAGACCAGCTGAACGTACCACACGCAGCTGTAGTGGCTCAGAAGTATCTGTTCCTCTATTTGCAATCTAATGTTAGTAAAAGATAGAAGAAAGCAACTTTGTGGGTCATATCCAGGATACTACTTGATGTATCAGGCAAAATTAGAGAGTTGGGAGTTCATCCCATGTTTTGGGGTGTTTTTCGCCCTGCAGAGGTATGCGATAGGTATCTCAGAGGAGAAAAGACGTCCTGTAGAGCTGAAAGCTGTGAATGTGAACTGCCTCGGGGGAGCTGGGGCTGCAAGCAGTGTGCTTAATGACATATGTTCCCATTAAAATGTGTAAGCTGTTCTTTTGTACAAGCAGTTAACACCTTTTTAATCAGGCCATTTATTTAATTACAAAAATAAGTACCCTGAGTTGGAAAATGACAGTATTTTATGGTCAGCAGTTTCCACATCTGAGTACATGTATCTACATTACACATATATTAAAATAAGTATATAAACAACTTCCAGTGTGATCGGACATACCTGGAGCACACATAAACATAACATGCTACTCGTAGCACGTGTAATACATACTCCTACTGTGAGCAAAGCTGTGGTACTCACTCAGTATTCTGATGCTATCAGAGGTGATACTTAATTGAGTTAAATAGGGAAGGTAGCTGGTGTCTGCTGCTTTGAATCGCACATTTCATCATGCTTATGAAGTAGAGATTTGGTCTTTGGAGCACAGGTTAGGATTTGCCTGTTTTAGTGGGTGTTGAATTTTCTGAGATGGATGAATTATCTGATGTCTGCGGAAAAAAAAAGTGGGTTTAGTGTATTTAATTACCACTGAGATTGTTTAACATGTTTTCTAGGTTGAATCTTTCAATCCCAGTATTTGTTATTTTGACTGTTTCCTGTATTAATTGTTAAGCTCATCTTTTGTGACAACACCCAGAAGGCACCCTTTTATAAATCAAAAGTAAATATATTACCCTACCTTGCAGGGGTGCCATAAGGCTTAATTAGTTCATTTTTTGTAAAGTGTTCTGAGATTCCCAGATCAGCATCAAATGTTTATTATTAATTATAGGCTCTAGTGAGTATATTGAATGATTTCTTAATTTAATTATCTTCAGGCGTTCTTAAAATAACTGATTTTGTAACATCTTTATTATTTTAAATTCCTAAAGCACATATGTTCTTGGCTCAAGTAATTCCATACACATCTTCCTATCACTTACTGTATTTTTAGTTCTGGGAATTTTTTTTTTCAACACAGTAATACAAAAACCCAGTCTTTTATTGTTTTCCCTGTGAATTCGGCTTTGTGGATTATTCTCTAATAAGAAGGTTTGTTTAAACATTATATGGTGTCTTTTTTCCTGCAGTGGGGGGTGTTAAGTAATTTACTTGGCTTCCCCTGGGAAATTTGCAGAGATTATACAGCACTGCTGTGATTTATCATTTCTACTTTATTTCTGACGCATAAAGCATGCATTATTTTGTGTTTACCTTCAGCAACAGATCATAGGAAATTTCATCATCAATCATAGCACTTTAAAATTGGGAGAAGTGATGATGTGACAAAGGCACAGTCAGCAACTGTGGTTATTGGAGGATCATTTATTGCTTCATTGTGTCGTAACACTTCTCATTTTATTGCTTTTCCCAGGATCGGGTTCATGTCGCTTTAGTTACTCAGATCCCAGCATCACCGTGTCCTACAGTAAGAATAGTTCTGCAGATTGGACTCAGCTGGAGAAAATTAGGTTTGTTACAGCTTTTTCATCATTTTCATGCTTTCCAGCTGAGCAGGTGGTGTTTAAACCTGGCTCTTTTAAAACTTGTTTTAATTGTTGTTTGCAGTTCTCACTTGTTCATGATAAAAGATGAGGGGTGAAATTATGGTCACTAAAGCTAATTGCAGAACTGCTACTGGGTTTGGTAAATCACAATTTCAACCATTGATTATGTGGGAAGTAAGGGAGAGAATGACTTCAAATTTAAAAATGCAGCTCCAATAACCAGCAGGTTCGGGTGCCTGACAAACCGAAACTTTGATGACTTTTGCATTTTAGCACCACTTTTAATGTTAGCAAGAGCCATAATTTATAGTGTCACGAGTTTCTACTTTAGTAGGATAAAACGTTCAATAAAATTGGTTTATAGTTTGATATGAACACTTTGCTCTAACACTCCTATAATGACAAGATTATGGTGGATTATGCCTTGTTTTTAAGCAACCTGATTTACGTGAAAGCACAAAGGGTTATGAATGGGGATTTTAAAATCTTTTACTGCAATATGCACACCTTTAAAGAGAGAGTCGGTGTTGGAGATGGATTTTCCTAAGAGAACCAAACTAACATTATATTAAATAATATCTGGAAAGGTATTTTGTGCATTGGCATATATACATAGTTATACAAGTACAACTGGGGAAGAAAAAACGTTGTTTATACGTAGTGTCCTCATAGCATCTCAGTCTCCCTTCCTGACTTACCTCAGTGTCTGTGCCACACAGGCAGTTTGCTTGAGCCTATTTTTGGTCCATTGAGACAGTTTGCAGGGCAAAAGACTACTTAATTTCTGATGACTACACAAGACTGTAGATGCAAGGCTGTGGATTTTATTATCTCATCCTCCTACTCCTTGTGGAAACGGGATTACAGTTTCATTGACACAAATTATGAACAATTTTAGTAAAACAAATGGTGCTAATTCTTATCTCAGAAAAATACAAAGCAATAGTAACTTCACTGCAGCCACTGGAGTTGCCTCAGAGTAACCACACCATACCTTTTACTTTTCTCCAGTTGACGTAAAATTATCTACCTAGTCCACAACACCAGTTCAGTTACCCCCATAGCTCTGCAAACCAGGAAACTCAAGGGTTGTGATGGTGAAAACAACAAGCCCTTAAAACCCAAATTATTTGTAGCTAATGGGTATACAGTTTGATCTGTGTTGCTTCAACTTTGACTCCTGGAATCGGCAGTAGAAAATAGGTTAATAGAGCAATGTCATGCAAAGTGGAGAGGATGAATTACGAAAGGCTGTTTGTTTCTCCTGTGGTCCGTATGAGTTACAGTGTTTAGTTGAACGTGTTTTAAGCACCTTTCACTGTACTACATGCAGCTCCGGGTAACAGTGGGAGAACTGGGGGGAGATGGGACAGGAGGGCAGCTGTAAAGGGAAGGTGTTGTGTCAATGTGTGTTGTGTTGGTGGGAATTCGGCTCTGGACTCCTGGGAGAGAGAGGAAGGAACTCTCAGGGAAGGTGGGTGCTCTGTGTGGGCTCAGGGAGAAGCAAGGACAATGCCTCAGAGCAGTGCTGAGGTGGAGGGTGATAGACATAAGGTTTAGCAAGTTCAGGATGAGTTGTGGGCGTAGATTCTGGGTGTGAACATGGGACAAATACAGTTGCTTTTCAACATTTCACTACACCCTAATGTTTTGCATTACAAAGAGACGCTCCTGTACTTTCTGCTATGTAAGCAAGCTATTGGTGGCTTTTTTCCGTAAAAGCTCTGGATTGTCCCTGACAAACTATTCATCCACCAAAGCATCACTACCACAGCAGAGGCATGGTTGAGTAGCTGACATCTTGCAGATCCCAATTTTGTAACTCCTTGCAGCCTGAGGTTTGAATGTGGCTAATTCTCTTGCTGAGTGATTAATAATTAAAAAAAATAATAATTCTCAACATCCCTTCCTTGCACACAGAGCTCAGTCCTTTCATTGTCGCTAGCAATGTAAAGATGTTCACCCAGAGCTTGGGGTGAACCTCAGTCCTTTCACAGCTCTGAGGACAGCTCTGGAAAGCGGAGTTCAAGGCCCTGATCATTGTCTGATACTAATACTCCAGGTCTGCCTCTCCTTCCTATATTTTCCATTTTCAGCAGTGAGAGGACAAACTGATTGTTTCTTCTATATTGTTCCTGAAGCAGAACATGGAAAGAAAGGCAACCTGGCCCTCCTCATCCACAGAATTAACCTGATAGCAGGGATGTGGGATTGGAAGGACATGTTTGTCAGAGAAAATTCACAGCTTTTCTCTCTGGCTATTCTGCTCCATCCAGATCTATGAGGGACTGAGGCACCAGAAGAAAGAAGTTTCTTTTGGTGAAAGCTCATGCAAAAATCACATTTTGGGACACATGTTTTTGTAAAGTGCTTCCTTAACATTTCCTTTTGGCCATACATGCGAAATACAGACAGTGCCCAGTCACCTGGGAGCTATGACCAGCATCGAATATGAATGTTGACCTGCTCTTTCTTCCTGCTCTCCAAACATCTGCATTGATCTGTTATTTATTGCATTAGTTTGCACTTTCTTTGAAGCAAGGCTGTCTGTTTGGGCTGTATGTGGACTGTCTGGCACAGTGGGACTCTGCCTCAGGGCAGGTATTTTCTGATCTCCATAGAAGATTTATCAGCATGCAAGGGACATCAGCACAACTGTGTCACAACTAGTAAATGTATTAAATGAGGGAAAGGTGTTCCTGGCTACAGCTTAAACTTGTTCTAATTCCATATCATTGTTTTTCAGTGCCCCTTCCAATGTCAGCACAATCATCCACATTTTGTACCTTCCTGAAGATGCTAAAGGGGAGAACATCCATTTTCAGTGGAAACAGGATTATGTCCATGCTGGTGATGTGTATGAAGCCTGTTGGGCATTGGACAACATCCTGATCATAAATGCTGCTCACAGGAAAGTTGTGTTAGAAGATAATCTTGATCCTGTGGATACTGGCAACTGGCTTTTCTTCCCTGGGGCCACAGTTAAGGTTAGTCTGATTTTCTATGGCTTAATGTTATTATTACTCTTGTATGTAGAAAAAGTCAGTAACATCCAACCAAACTCTGAACACAAAAGGGTGTTTAGCCCACTCCATCTGCTTCTAGAATTCAGCTCTTTTTTACTTTGTTTTTACCTTTTCTCTGTCCCATCGGGGCTTTCTGGAACAATGCAACTTCTCTGCCATGACCAAAACCAAATGACAGTTTATATTGTCATGTCAAAGATCACGTAACAGAAAACGAGAAATAGCTTCCTTTTAGCAAAACAGTGCAATATTTATGAACCAAAATCAAGTCTCTCTATTGGATATTTTGAAATCTATCTGTTCATTTATCTTGGTGTTGTTCGGCTACCTCTACTCACTTCATCACAAACCACCATGAAAACCCTATGGTTTCCCGCTTTTTCTGACTGTGAATATCACATCTGCATTTCAGCATGCATTCAGGTAGTAGCTGCTCCTTAAAAGTCTTTTTCATTAAAATCTTGTTTTAATATATGAGATCCAGTAAGATCATACAACCTTGGGAAAACTCTAAGGAGCCCTACAAGATCTCTGTGAAAGTTCCTTCAAATGCAGAGTGGTTCAACATCTGGAAATCAGTTGGATTCTTGCTTTCTATGTTTCCAAGCAGCCAGAAGCTCTGCAGCAGCTGACTTTCTGTTTCCATTCTATTTTTCATTCACAAAAAAGCAGTTTTGATGTAGGGGTTCGTTTATGATGCTGGTAACGGTTTTGGCAATTGCACAGGAAACAGATGTTGAATACTGAGGGCAGAAAGAGGTGCGTTATGGCCTCATCCTTTTCCCACAGAACCTGATATGAATGGCCTCAGATTAATCTTTTTAGAAATAAACATTCCCACTAATCTACTCACAGTACCCTTGTATTGACTTTTTTTTTACTTCAGTAAGGCCGTTTAAACTACAATAACAAAGTTGTTTTAGTGAGTTTTTAGAATAAAATAATGTACTATGTATTTAATGAAGTAATTTTCTGTGATCCAGTTCACATTTGTGGTATTGTTAGTCTTACCTCTGGATTTTAAAATCCAGCCCACACATGTGAAGGTGTGAAAGCAAAGCAAGGATTAATGTGCCACAGGCACAGTTACTTCTTCTCAGCTGGCCAAGCCTAAACAGTGCTTGGTCCTTCTGAAACATGCACAAACAGCATCTAAATTTTAGCAAGTAAACCTCTTTTTTTTTTTTATTTTTTTTTTTTTTTACTAAACTCAGCCAGTTTGTGTATATACACAACTATGGTTACATGTAAGATGAAAGACCTAAACACAGAGATCACTTAGTGCTTCTAGACAGAAATCCTATTCAAGCTTAAACCTTATATGAGATGTGAGGATTCACTAACCTGCCATTCCTCCAAGATCGTCTTCTGTCTCAGGGACAGGTGAAATATGCATCTGTCTGTTCCCAGCTACCTTTGGCTGCGTGTGGCCGCTCAACCAGGTTAAGGTGACGTGTAAGGCTGTAGTGTAGCCACAATGGATTAAGGCTATGTGTGACACAGGGCTTTTATTCTTCATGGTACCCTGTGGTTATTTCAAACATTTTCAGTGTATCTAGGTTATCACCAGAGCAGTCCCCTACTCAAATTTCATTTTTAAGGTTTTTGCTCCAGTTTTCCTCAAATTTTCAGGAACAATCTTGCCAAATATGATTTGAACAGATTTTGCAATGTGAATTTCATGTTATGTCAAAAGTAAAACTATAAATTGGGTCAAGATTTACATCAGATTCAACATAGAACCTGGCATAGCATTACAACACCAAGAACAATTTTTTGGACAAAGTTTTGTGCTTTTCAGGATTGGAAACTATATAAAAGTTAACAAAAACCTCTAATATTGTCTTTAAAACATTTAACATCCTTTAAAACATTTAGCATAGCTCTAATCTCAGTTCATCACAAACACACTATTTTGTATCAATAGAAAGGTGAGAATCTTCATACATTGTGCTAATGACTTTACATCACATTTTAAATGTAATCACACCAGTCACTTCTGTTTCAAGCAGCATTTTGCTTATGAGTTTCTTTAACAATGCCAATGAACAATCACATTTCTAGATGTTATTTGTTGTCTAACTCGCTTTTGATTAGTGTATACAAAACTGTGCGTCAATTCTTTTCCTAAATTGTGCCATAAAGATAAGTGATTTCATTGGACCAAGGGAATTAAATATTAAGAAAAAACCAAAAAGAAGCAAGACAGGTTGTATTTCTAAATTTCTTCCATTTACTGGGGTTATTTTCTGTATTCATCCTTTCTTGCTCTCCATCTTTGACCACCCAGAATGACTGATATTGCAAGTTTCTCAGATGGAAGGGCAGTGCCAGTCTGAGATAGCTCATCCAGTTGGCAGTCAAAACTGAAAGGGGAGGAGAAAATACATACTTATTTCTGGTAGAAAAAGGAGTAGAAACAGTCTTTCTCTACGTGTTTACTTTTTGTCTAAGTGATTACTTCTGGACTGCCTCAGCAGGTGTTGCTCAGATGATGGAACCTTCTTGGAGGCTCTGTGGCACATACAGGATAGTGAATGAAGCAAACAAGGGTATGAACATGAGCCCATGACAGGGTGCTGGGCCATGTTGTTAGACCATGCCTTTGCCAAGAAAGGTTCAGATGATCTTTGAGGTCCCTTCCTACCTCGTATTCTATGATTCTATGATCTTGCACACCTTAGTTGTTGTAACACCCCCTTGCTTGGCTTTGTCTTGTGCAATCTTCCAGGCATTATCTTCAAAGTATGTACCCTCATGGATGGGCCAGGGACTGTTTCCAGTAGGCCACAGGGATGACACCACTCTTCTGGGAGGAGAAAGTTTGCCCAGGTGAATGCAAACTCTGCTGTGTCACTTGTCGTCAAGGTCAGAGAACAGTCCCTGGCCTAATCCAGTTACCATTACAGTCCTAGCACTTTAGAACTGTCCACCCCACCCACCCCTCCAGCCATCCCAAGCCCTGTAAGTGAATTCTCATTAAATACCATTTTGTGGCCTTAGTGGGTTACTCTGTTAGTAAAGATAGGCATTAAGATACGATTCGTTGGTAGTTTAGAATAAATGTTGCTGTTGCTGTGGTTCATGTAGGTTCAGTAGGCTGTATTTAGTGAAAGATGTGACTACCTCAGTATGTTGCAGGCCATGTGGAGATAAGCAGTTTCACATGACACTTTTTTTTTTCCACTATCATAGAATGGTGGGGGTTAGCCCTGTCACTGGGCACCACTGAAAAGAGCCTGGCCCCATCCTCTTGACTCCCACCCTTTAGATATTTATAAGCATTGATGAGATCTCCTCTCAGTCTTCTCTTCTCCAGGCTAAAGAGCCCCGGGTCTCTCAGCCTTTCCTTGTAGGGCAGATGCTCCAGTCCCCTCACCATCTTTGTAGCCCTCTGCTGGACTCTCTCCAGCACTTCCCTGTCCCTCTTGAACTGGAGAGCCCAGAACTGGACACAACATTCCAGGTGTGGCCTCACCAGGGCAGAGTAGAGGGGGAGGAGAAATTCCCTTAACCTGCTGAATGCACTCTCACCCACCCGAAAAAAGTCACTCAGGAGAAGGGATTTATTGAGTATGAGGCACATAAATAACCACTAATCCAGAAAAATTCTGCTGCCAATCCCACAGTTTTGTTTCGGGATTAGGTGTCCTGCTTGAGATTTCCTCCTCATTTTCCATCTTCCTGACTTCTGAATTCCTTTTCCCTACCTCTAGCATCTCAATCTTTCTCCTGAAATAAGAAAATAAACCAATTTTTTTTGTGTCTATTCTATGTCTCTACTTTGCAGGAGAAGAAAGTGCAAAACAAGAGAAGAGTTTGTGCCCTTCATGCAGTAGTTCAGCAAGTTCTTTCCCAATAGCTGCTCAGGAGGTGGCTTTTAGAATTGCTTGTTATACTTGGTACATGCTCTTGTTGGATGCACATCAAGTTGCAAAGAAAGTATATTTTTTTCTGTAGAACATTTACTTTGGTAGTACATGAGATCTACTAAAATAAATAGCAAACATTACAAACTCAGGAGTTTTGCTAATAAAACCACTCAGAGTAATAGCTGCTTAGATAATAAGGTAAAAAGACAGCTGAAACAAAACAAGTACTACCATAAACAGTGTTGTCTGGGTCCTGGATTAGGTTCTGTGATGGATTCAGTCAGTGGAGTGGCAGTGCAAGCATTAATAGTAATTACAGACCAACGTGTTGACTCCAGTTTGGTGGATCTGGACAGTGTGTTCTCAATAAGCTTTTGTGGGAACTCATCTGTGCCCAGCTTGGGAAGTGGTTTCTCCTCTTCTCCCAGTCTGCGTGAGCTTGGACCAGGAGTTTCATTACATTTCTTGCTGCACTCAGGAGCAGTTGCTTCTCGTTTGAAAGCACATGGTTGGTTCCAGACGCAGCTGGAACTGGCTACTGCGGTAGGAAGCAAGCTGAGAGATAAGCCACTGAATTTGTGTGTTTCGGTTCCAAAGAAGACAGCAAAAGACAAGAAAGACACTGTTAGCAAGGCCAAGCAACCCTTAGGAGATTAATTGGATCCACTGGAATGTATTTATCTGTGTTGGACTGTGTGGAAGGGTGTTGAACAGGATATATTCCTGACTGCATTTCAATATTTCCAGTGACAGCTCTGAGCATGAGCATGGCCTTGCAACTGAGTATGGTTAGGATGTTGCACTGGTGGTTGAGATTGCTGAAACACATGAAGAAGCGCTATGCTCTGAGAGCTGTTACAGGTCTGTGAACCTCAAGACTTCATAGCTAATTTGGGGAAAAGATGAAATCTTCCTTCTGTAATGCTTCTTGGATCTTTACTCCTATTGAACAGAAAAGCAGTCTCATCTTTCAGTGGACATTTCATATATCTTGTATATTTGACCAGAAATTGTTTTGAGGTACAACATTTGACAAGTTCTTTAGTTTTCTCTGCCCTGGTCCAAGATTGGATGTGCAAGCTCAAAAAC